TGGAGGATTGGAAATGCGACTAGATTGTCTAGAGGGATATTGGAAGGTCTTATATGGCTTTCTTGCTTTTCTGGAGAGGTATTGGAGGACTGTGATTAATAGGGTTATGAGGGTGTAGAGAACCATAGGATTCAATGGACCCAGGTGAATCAGGATTATCCATAGGGTTGGTACTAGCTACAGGTGGATATGCCACAGAAGGTACATGAGAAGAATGGTTATTATGATGTCTAAAGGGAATAGGCTCTGTGTTGGTACCTGAATGGTCACTATCAGAGCTGGGAGTAGCAGATTGCTGCTGCAAGCTAGGGGAAGAGTTGTTGGTCTCAAGACAACCCGATATATCAGTAGAAGAAGGATACTGATGGGACAACTCAGGGTTAGCATAGGTGTGAGCAGTAGGTATTGCATGCACTGATTTGGAGTAATCTTGAGCAAGGTCAAAAGGAAAAACATGTTCATAAAAAATGACATGTCTGAACACAAAAATATTATGGCTTTGAAGATCATACAAAATGTATCCCTTAGTTCCATCCTTGAAGCCTAAAAAGACAGTTTTCCTTGACCTTTGGTCAAACTTGGTTTTGTTTATCTGGTTAGAGGTGGCATAACTCAAGCATCCAAAAACTTTTAAGTGAATTAAGGAGGGAGGTTGATTGTATAATAGTTCATATGGACATTTAAAATTTAGCAGGGGAGTAGTGAGTCTATTTATGATGTGGATAGCATGTTGTATACAAAAATTCAACATTTTAAGAGGAAGTTTAGAGTGGAAGTAAAGAGATCTAGCCACATTTAAAATATGTTGATGCTTTCTCTCTACCACTCCATTTTGTTGGGTGTGTAGGCACGAGATTTTTGATGGATAATCCATTTTGACAGAAAAAACATCAGATAAAGAAAGAAACTCAGTCTCATTATCTGATCTAAAACATTTAAGATTAGTGTGGAACTGATTTTCAATGTAACTCATGAACTGAATAATACTCTGCTTGACTTGATCTTTAGTTTTTAGAAAAATAACCCATGTGTATCTACTGAATTCATCCATAAGGGTCAGAAAATATTTGTGTCCTAACATTGAGACAGTGGAAAAGGGACCCCACACATCAGCATGTAAGATTTCAAAAGGTAGTTTAGATTTTTTATAGCTATTTGGAAAAAGATAATTTCTTTTGTTTACTAAAATTACAAGGGTCACAAGGATGCTTGTTATTACAATTGAATGGAATAAAAGGAAAATATTTTGACATGTATTGTAAACCTGCAGTAGAAATGTGTCCTAATCTGAGGTGCCATAATAAAGAACTGTCTTGGATGGAAGAATTACAAACATGATCAGGGTGGAATAAATCAAGCACATATAGACCTCTTTGAAGCTTAGTTGAACTAATCATTTCCTTGGAATGATTCTGCAGGATTTGGCACGAGTTATTAGTGAAATGAACAAAACAGCAATTAATTTGTACCAGTTTTTCTATAGAGAGTAGATTGACATTGATACTAGGGATGTATATGACATTTTGGAAAACTAGAGTGGAACAAAGAGCTATGCTGCCAGAAATGTTTGTGGTGACTTGTGAACCATTTGGTAAACTAACATGAATAGGGACTATTGTTCTATGTGAAGTAAAATTGGAAATGTCAAAAGTTATATGGTCAGTGGCATCTGTGTCAAGAATCCATAGGTGATTGTTCTTACCAGTTTCAGGATGAGAGTGAGAATTGAGAACAAATGGAGATGTAGAGATGGAATTGGCTTTAGGGTTAACCTTTGACTATTGAATTAATTCTAGGATGCTTTGATATTTCTCTTGAGTGAAGTCAAGCATGGATTGAGATGAGCTTTATTCTAGAGTTATTTGACCTGTTTCAACAGAAGAAACAGGTTGTGCATTAGAGTTAGTGGATTTTCCTTTACCTCGAAATCCTGGTGGGTAACCATGCTTGAGAAAACAGGTATCAATAGTGTGGTTGTTTCTTCCACAATGTGTACATATTCTATTTGTGCCTTTAGTTCCTCCATGATTATTGCCCTTGCCTCTAAAATGATTGTTTCCAGGTCTGCCATAATTGTTACCAGATGCAGCATTCATATGAAGTGTTGTTGATTCTTCAGAAGAAGTGGAGGTCGAAACAGCATTCTCAGATGCGTTTAGTTCTCTTTCCTGCTAAATAACCAGAGCAAACACTTTGTCAATGTTTGGCAAGGGACTCATAATCATGATCTGAGTATTGGACTGATTGAATTTCTCATTTAAGCCCTTGAGGAAACGAATTATATAATCTTGCTCGCGATATTTACGAACAGAAGAAAGAGCTCCACATAAACAAGATATAGCGTAAGAGCACACATTAATGGGTCTGTAGGCTTCTAATTCATCCCACATCACCTTCATCTGAGTAAAGTAGTTTGAAACGTCCAAGCTTCCCTGATGAAATTTGTACAAGTCTTCTTGAATATTAGATATGCAAAAAATGTTACCTTGCGAAAAGCGAATCTGCAAATTTCTCCATACACCAACAACGCTTTCAATCTATAACACGGATTTCGCCATTTATTCTGATACAAAACAGTGGATCCATGCTAAAACCATGGTATTGCCTCACGCCCAAGGAGCATAGAGAGCATCAACTACTGGAGGTTTTGGAAGCGTGCCATCAATTAATCGTTCCTTGTTCTTTGAGATCAATGCAATATGCATTGACCTAGCCTAGGTATGATAGTTCTTATCATCAAGAAGAGGAGTAACAAGGACCAAACATGGATTTTCGTTAGGATGAAGATAGTAGGGGTTGGAGGAATTTATAGAGAAATATGTGAAATTATGGTATGCCATCAAAGGAAAGAAGGGCAAGCTTGATTGCAAGAAACGCAAGATTAGCAAGAAGGGATAGTTCTGCAAGAACAGAAAGAAAGAATTACAAGCGTAAGAGAAAGGCCCAATGCAAAGAAAGAAAGTGCTGGAATCAAGCCGAAATAAGGAAATGATGGCTACCAGAGCCTTTGCAGCTCTGATACTATGTGAATAGTGAAATACTCACCATGTAAACTCATGGAGAAGAAGTAGTATAACAGAAAATGAACTGCAATAACAGAAAAGAAATGCTGAAATCTTTCTTCATTGATAGAACTGATTACATGTGTGGTTTATATCCAAATAGGATAAGCTAAATAACTATTGGGTGGTATTCTTACTTAGTACTAAGCTTACATGGCAGAGATACAAAAACTCTACTAATCTATTTAATACAGATATGTACAATGAAATATAAAATACAGGAACTATACTAACAAGAAAATACTTGTTACTAATCGAAGATGTTTGAAAGTTCTATGCACGGCAAAATATCAAATGACTTCATTTATGGAGTTGAATGAGATTTTATGCATCACTGTGAAGAAGCATCTAACTACCCGTCCTCGGATGCAATCAACGTCTTTCAGTTTGAGATGTTAATCTTTGTCAACAAAACCTTTATATTCTTCTTTTGATACATTTTTTTTACTATTATAGTTGTAATATGATATTAATCTAAGTATATGATTTTTGTTTTTTTACTGTTATAGTTCTCTAAACCATTTTTTGAGAATGTTTTCCCTTGACAGTAGTACATATGACATCAATCTAGATCTATTGGAGGTTTTTGGGGGACCACCAAATATAATTTTTTTTAAGACATTTCATATAAACTATTATAATAAACAAAGTTAAAGTTAAGTAAACGGTACTTTGTAATTGCAAAACAGGATAACTAACTATATATAAATATAGGAAAGCTATTGTAATAATCATGAATGCATTTATACAGAAACACAATTTAGCCTCTCTGAATTCAGAAGAAGAAAATGAAAATCAAAGAAACTGAAAATATACAAAAACAAAAAATAAAGTTAAAAGTTCATTCAAATTAAAAACACACAATAACAAATATGTTATGTAAAAAATCTATAGATGAGGATTCAATGCAGAATTCTATCAAAAACCTGGTGGGCGTATAGATTTGTTTAACAATTATATTGTTGGAATTCAATTCTTACAAACTCGTAGATTATGATTTAATATCTACAACCTCTCTATCACATACGGTTTCTGAAAAATAACACGAAGCCTTAAACTCAAAACATTCTTTCATGAATCCAACATTAATCAATGCCATGACAAAATTAGAAAAGAACCCATTTGTAGTGCTTAAAGTCATAATTCAATCTGTATGCACAAACGGCCCTGGACAAACAGGAAATCGGTTCAGTACATTGTCAAAAGAAGTTGACCAAAGCTAAAGAAAATTAAAGCAAACACAAGGTTCGATTATGCAGAAAGTTCAGAGTCATTAGCATCATTACCTATATCAAGCAACCTTGCATAAAAGCTTAAGTACCATACATTGACAATATATTGTCCTGCAATGAAGAATATCCATATTTCACCATCATGATTCATAATAAGAAAGAATGCAAAAGTTTGACCCTCCCAACTATTATGACTTTTGATTAACCGCGTACAGCTTCACGATCATTCTATGCAAGCTTTAATCAAACTCAACAAAACAACTTAGATTCTTAATCAAGTAAACCCTAAAACTTATATTTAGCTTTTGAAGTATTAAAAAAAAGTGAAAACACGTTTTTGCACACAATGTTTAGGTAATAAAAATCAAACCACACATAATACAGTCCAGAATCAAGCAATTAGAGTATCTTCTACATCCTGAAAATAGACAGAAATCATTCTTTGCGTTACTAATGATTTCCAAACTTGCTGAATTCATAGGACCATAAACTCACAACAATAGAACAGTAAAGCCACAATCCGATTTGCTGAATTCAAACCAGTCTTTTGACAAGCTGCAACATAAGATTCACTGTAACATTTCAACAAACACATAATGTGTACCCATTAAAAGTCTGTTTGATAAATAAGTTGATAATGAATTGCAGATAGATTAATGAATCAATGAAAAATCAGTTTCAATGCATCTAAACAAATGACAATGAATTACAAATAGATTAATTGAAAGCTTACATTCCAGATGAGTTGCGGGAGGGAACAAACACACAGAACATTCAGAGTTAGAACTTGTAAGAGTAGGAAATCAAGAAGATAAAGGAAATTAGATGATTTTGCATCAGAATCAACTTCTTCGTAATCAGAAGATTCAGATGGAAGCCAGAGAAGTGTCATCGTGGTGATCAGCGGTCACGACGGCGGAGACGACATGACTCGGGCTCCGATAGTTCTTACGATGGCAGTGGTAGTGATAAGGGTGGGAGGAAGAGGAAATCCTCCAGCAAAATTATTGAAGAGGAAATAGTACAATACATGGTTAAAAAACGCAGAGAAAGGTTTGAAGATTTGCTTCTCTATCGATGTTATATGAAAAATTGATTCGGCATTGAAGAAGAGATTTAGAGTTTGAAGGATGGAGTGGATGAACAACTTTGAATTTCAAGGGAAAGATATTTTAGCAAAAATGAAACATGGGAAGTTGTGTGGCTATATATATATATATATATATCTTCAATGTGGTTTTTCATTATTCAAAATTTTTAAGCGCTTAAAGTTTAGGGTTAATTTTCAAATCAAAGTGATTTTAGTGATTAATAAAAAATAAATAAATATTATATTTAATTGTAATGTGATAACACATCAGATATAATAAATATCAAAATAATATGACGAGAGTAGTGTTAAAAAAAGTTTAATCTATTCTTATAATTAGATTAAATGTTAATTTGTATTGGAAGGGTATTATATAGATTTCCGTATAGTTTAATTTTTATAAATAGATAATAGATATAATATAATTAATTTTCTAATATTTTAAATTTATTATATTATTAATGATTAATTATAAATAAGTTTTATGAGAATTGTATTGTTGTAATTATAAAATATACTTCCTCCGTCCTAAAATATAAGAGAAAAAAAATAAAAACACATTTATTAAGAAAACTAAAAATATAATTATTTTACTTGTGATTTTTATTGAAAAAAAGTATAAGAAGATGTAAAAATAATTTTAATTGATTGTTGGTTATAGAAAAGATGAGAGAGAAGGTAAATTAAATTAAATTTATATTTAATTTTATCTTGAGAAGAATAAAAGTTGATTTTTTTCTCTTATATTTTAGAATAACAAAACTACATTTTTCTCTCTCTTATATTTCAGGAGGGAGGAAGTATTCTTCTTTTTAATCAATTTGAATATTAAAAAGATTTATAGTGCAGTTGATAAAATTTGATTCTCAAAAATTGACAAAATTTCATTTTTATAATTTTAACATTACTTAATAAATGATTAATATAATTATAAATATTAATAAAATCAAAATTTAAAATCAAAACCTAAAAAATAAAAATAGAAGATTAAAATTATAATTAAGTTTAAAAATAAACATAAAAAGATCAATTTATTAAATTAAAAAACTACTAATTCACTAATCTAACTAGTAAATCGAGTCACACTAATTTTTACCTTTCACCTGATCAATTATAATAATAATCTAATAATCTTATCAGATTGTTCTATCTCTAAGTCACAGTCGGTTCAACTAACTTACACGATCTGAATTTTAAAATTACGAGTATAACTATTTTGTTTGACACTATATAAAGTAAATCTTAGTTTTGTTATAGGGACCAACAGTAAGTGTTGGTTAAAGTAAATGAGTAAGCTTGTTTGGAGTCACGTGCAAAACAAGGGGTTGCACACGGAAGAAGAACAACCAGAAGACGTGGGCGTCTAGAGTCCAAATCTGTGGGACACCTTGGAAAATTGAAACCATCCAGCATAATAACTTTTAACCATAGTTAAATGGGCAACACGATTCAAATTTGCATTTTTAAGTCTATGCTTGATACAAAATAGTCATTCAACAAATCTATAGATTGTATCATAAAAACTAAATAAAATTATAGACAACTAAGATATTAATCTTTGACAAAAAGAAATCAAACTTTTTGAATAGTTGATTTTAAAATATCTCAAAACTACTTTTAATTAATTTTTTATACCTATTTTTTTCTAAAATGTTTTTAATCATGCTATAAATAAAAAAATAAATCTTACTTTTTTTAAAATCAGTAAAAAAAAAATATTAATACTAAATTGTAACACCACTATATTTAGTCTATATTTAATTCAAATTTATATATTTATTTAGTAAATTTTCAAAAAAAATTATATAGATCGGAATTTATTTATGCAGACAATCTATTTCAAAAAAACATTTGACGAAAAAAGACAGTGGGGGTAATAGAGGTGTTTGGTTTTGACGCATAATAGTAATGACGTAGAGGAGGAGAAGAATAAAGGTTTATTCGGTTATGAAAGTCGCACTTTAATTGTTCTAATTGTGAAAATAATTAGGGTGACTTTATGATTAGATTTAGACATGATTCAACCCAACCTCCAAATAAAGAAAAGAAAAGTATTCAACCCAAATCGTGATTATTGCTGTTTGGAATTCAAAACCCACGAGACACAAAAACAAGAGAATATTCCACCTCAGTACCTGTGGGCAGTGGCAAGTTTGGTAATTAAATACAAGCATTCTAACTTGTTGTTCTAACCCAAACCCTCAATAATAGTAGTAGTAGTTGGCAAAGAAAGAAAAGGTGTTTTGAAATCGCAAAAGCAAGTTAGGTAGTGTCTATTTATCACTTGTCTTGTATTGTGTGTAGCATTCGAATCGATCGGTGGAGTTAGAAATGTCGAACATAGACATTGAAGGGATCATGAACGAACTGCCTAATGATGCGCGTCTTCCTAAGACCAAAATTGTATGTACTTTGGGTCCAGCTTCCAGATCTGTTGAAATGATCCAGAAGCTTCTTAAAGCTGGCATGAACGTTGCTCGTTTCAATTTCTCTCATGGAACTCATGAATATCACCAGGAAACCCTCAACAATCTCAGGTCTGCTATGCAATCCACCGGTATTCTCTGCGCCGTCATGCTCGACACCAAGGTGAGCGTAACTTATTTTTCGAATTGTTTTTCTACAACTTATAAGCTGTTTTGTATAACATATGCTCTCTACTGCAGGGGCCTGAGATTCGTACTGGCTTTCTGGTAGATGGAAAACCTATTCAGCTCAAGGAAGGACAAGAAATCACCATCACTACTGATTATGATGTTAAGGGAGATACTGAGACGATATCTATGAGTTACAAGAAACTGCCTGTTCACTTGAAGCCTGGAAATACCATACTATGCTCTGATGGAACGATTACACTTACTGTCTTGTCTTGTGATCAAGAAGCTGGTACTGTTAGATGTCGCTGTGAAAACACTGCAATGCTGGGTGAGAGGAAAAATGTCAATCTTCCTGGTGTTGTGGTGGATCTTCCCACCCTTACTGACAAGGATAAGGAAGATATTCTTGAATGGGGTGTCCCTAACAATATTGATATGATTGCTCTTTCATTTGTTCGTAAAGGGTCGGATCTTGTTAATGTGCGCACGGTTTTGGGGCCACATGCAAAGCATATTAAGTTGATGTCAAAGGTAGTATTCTTATTGCATTCTTCTGCAACTTTATTAATATAAATGATTGCCATTTTTCAATTGTTTGTGTTTGTGCTGTATAAGATGATGTGGAAAGAAAGGGGTGATTTTTGCTTGTGCTATATAAATGATTACCAGTTTATGTTTTTTAATTAATGATTTTGTGGAATTGGATTTCAAGGTTGAGAATCAGGAGGGAGTGATGAACTTTGACGAAATCCTGCGTGAAACTGATGCATTCATGGTGGCACGAGGTGATCTTGGAATGGAGATCCCAGTGGAGAAGATATTTCTCGCACAGAAAATGATGATATATAAGTGCAATCTTGCTGGCAAGCCTGTGGTGACTGCCACCCAGATGCTTGAATCCATGATCAAGTCTCCTCGGCCAACCCGAGCTGAAGCAACCGACGTAGCCAATGCAGTTCTTGATGGAACAGATTGTGTCATGCTTAGTGGTGAAAGTGCTGCTGGATCTTACCCTGAACTTGCTGTGAAAATCATGGCTCGCATTTGTATTGAAGCAGAATCATCCCTTGACTATGGTACTATCTTCAAAGAGATGATAAGGTCTACTCCATTGCCAATGAGTCCATTGGAAAGCCTTGCATCATCGGCTGTACGAACAGCCAACAAGGCGAGAGCTAAACTCATTGTCGTGCTGACACGAGGTGGGACCACGGCCAAGTTAGTTGCTAAGTATAGGCCAGCAGTTCCAATCCTGTCCGTGGTAGTTCCTGTTTTGACAACGGACTCATTTGATTGGACCTGCAGTGACGAGTCACCAGCAAGGCACAGCTTAATATACAGAGGGTTGATTCCTATACTGGCAGAAGGATCTGCCAGAGCTACTGATGCAGAATCTACAGATGCTATTCTGGAAGCTTCCCTTAAGTCAGCAACACAAAAGGGGCTTTGTAAACCTGGTGATGCAGTTGTTGCCCTTCATCGTATTGGAGCTGCTTCTGTCATAAAGATCTGCATTGTGAAGTGATGCACAATGTCTTATTTGCCAGTCTTAGATGCAGGAAGGGCTATGTTATGTTCCAGCTTTTGTGCTCTAATTAAATTAAACTCTGGTCTGTTTGTCTACAGTATAATGGAGGATTTACCTATTAGCAGGTTTTTGGTATTTTCTATAAGATCTGGATGAGATTCTCATGAAAATAATATGCATTTTTGCATTTAAAACATAATAATTAGCTGGATACCTGTGTACCATAATGATATTATTCGACAAATCTATCAATTTGCATTTTTGAAATTTAATAGTTTAACATTGCTGACATGAAAATGAATTAGTGGATTTTAAACTACATTGACATTACTACATCATAGGGTCAAACTTCATCTTAGGGTATCACTTGTCACAAACTGTAAAATTCAGTCTAATAACAAGTTTTGTAGTAGAAAGAATGTCTTACTAATATTTTAACCTTAATAAGTAAATTGGTGGACTTTTTTTACTCTAAATATATTTGGACCTAAATTTTAGACTTAAGAATTGGAGACTAATAATTTACTAAAACTTGCAAAAAAAAATTGGTAGCTTGATTGATTTCTACTAAAAGTTCAAGATCAAAAGAATCAAAGCTACATGGTATTTTGGTTAACTTTGGAATGGTATCTTTGAAATGCAAGACATATTCGTGATAGTTAAGGTCAAAGAAAAGC